TTTAGATTTGAAAGTCATAATTTACACATGGAGATGAGCAGGTGGGAAAATATTCCAAGAGAAGAGTGACTTTGTCGTTATTGTCATTCTACAGCATGTATCTCTCTATTGGAAGATGAAAAAGATTTTCTGTTCTATTTGTCCAATGTATAGCAGTTACACAGGGAAATATCTAGAGCCATCTAACATTTGCTTATGTATCAACTATCAATACTGTATTAAACATGTGTAACAGAGAAAAGGAAGCTTGGAAAGTAGGAGCTTTCTTATATTTCAGTTTTATCCTAAGGAAGAATTGGATAGATTAATGTTTTTGTATGTATTTACTGAGATGAATTTGTTTCATATTTATGAATGTTGTTTTATAAAGCATATCACTTAAAGTCACTTGAATCTGTAAAGGTATCTATAAATGGAAACATTATGTAATGTAATCACTCGGGACAGGTAACTGCCCAGAGGTTAGCTGTATGTTGTATTTTGTTAATATGTATTATTACTTATGACATAAACTGCATATATTGAGAATTATAGACTGAAAAGCCTACATTCTGAATAAATTAATCTTGTATTTTATTGTATTGTATGAATCCATGCATACCAGGTCCATCTGTTTCTTAATAGACTTGCTCTTCATTAATCATCACAAAAGCTATACTATCAACTTTTCATTATTAATTCCTTCCTGAAGTCTCTTTTTTCCCCAAGCTCAACTCTCGATCTGAACGACAGTGTACATGATGCTAGGCTGTTACTTATTATAGCACAGCTCACAGTCGCATCTACATTCATTCACCTACCTCACTAAATGGTATGTGTAGATAACAATGTATCACGCTTAATATCCATGGTCACCTGTACATTCCTTATTTATTTTACAACTGTTGTAGACAGTACTATTCAACGCTGTGATGAGTATATAGGTGTCAGATGTAGTCAGGTGACAACAATATTTCCCTCAAGACAGTCAAACTCTCCAGAAAAATATAGATTCTATCCATCTCAAATGGTGGATGGAGTCACTATTATGTTCTCACCAATCATTGGTCACAAGGGCACATGAAAAGGTAATGAAAGAGACGGCGAAAGCAATATGTTGGTAGTTACAGCCATTTAACTGACACCTCCAAAATGGTAACAGAAGGGAACAGCCAGATCCAATACCTAACCCCCACAATATAAATAACCCTTGACACAAACAACATATAAGCTGAAAAATTGATTCACTGTTGACACTTGAAGATTGTAACATATTTTTCTAAATGTTATGGATAATTTGTTTTAATTAGATGAAGCATACGTTTGTAAACCAGAAGCTGACAACTGTTTTGATCACATGACAGCATCTGGCACTCTGATTGGTAAACAATGTTGTCTGCTTTGCATGTTTAAAGTTGTACTGGTATGCACTTTTTGCTTTTTGGCTTTATCATGGCAACTTTCTTTGCATCAGTGATTATCTTTTCTGTTTTCATACGGAGTACCCTATGCATGATTCATTGTGTTCATATTTACCGCTCTTGATTTGTTTGAAGAAAGTTTACAGCGATTGGATGACTTTGGAATACTGATACCATCTTCAAGCCTCGGTGCCACCATTCCATATCACAAGTTCTCTTATTCCAATTAGATTACTTACTTGAATATTTCTTCCAGGTATTTTAGGATGTATTATGCTTTTCAGGTGCTTTCATTTTGCACTTATTTGTGCTCTCCTGAGTGTGTTTTGTTTTGCCACAATTGGATGCATCCTGCCCCTAAAAACCTTGTTATGTTGATGCCAAAAAAGGAGAAAAGAAACAGTCAAGGAGATATCATCTCTGTCCCTGGTGTCATTATGAAACTGAGAATGATGTAGGTATATCAGCATCATTTTGTCCATGTCACAATGCATCAAATGCCTGGATGCAGAGAGTAATTTAACTGTCAAAATATGGAAATAATATTTCAGCCTAACAAGACCTGATTTCTTAACAAATATCAAAGAATCAACCTAATTTTGCAAGAAACATTACATTGTTAAGTAACAATCAGTGACATTTAGGAGATGTTTGACTCTCTTGGCACACAGCTGATAGTGTCGGCTGCAATATCAGTGCTCCCTAGTTCAGAGCGAGGCACAGTTTTGGTGGGAAATGATTTCAATTACAATATCCAGTTGCATTGTGTAGCCATACCCAATAATTTTGTTAAGTGAATTTGAATAATTCCACCTCCACACCTACACACATTTTATACCGGCTGTGCATAATTCTCTCATTACCTGGCCATGCTGACAGTAAATACATTTTCATTCATAAAATGATGATCTAATCCAGCAGGTATTTGCATAATAGCTGACTAAATATTTTTTCATTCATTCAAAAACATCTACTTAAACCTATTCAGCAGCTGTTTCCATCCAAACTCCCCTATCATCACCCAATCCCATCTCCCCTATCACATCTTCAGTGAATGATTCTGACAGAGCTGGCCAGACACCAGACTCCCAGCATTCACCACAGCCATGTGGAATACTGTACAGGAAGATGTTATGCCAGTTATTACCTGGCTTCAGTGTTGGATAAACACTGCCTCCTCTACTTTATCTGCTTACACAATCAGCTTGATGTTTCACCAAGGGAGGTAAATATGTAAGTTCAATGTCAGCAGGATAGTTTCCCTGAGTTAATAACTAGTTAATCTTAGAGGCACCATAGCTGGCATCATTCACACAAAGTTTGAGCTCCATTGGCCTTGTAGTTTCAGAGGAGATGTTGAAAATGTAAAAGTCAACAGAGGAAAACCAGACATGTAGATGTACAACGGACAATGCAGCATGACATAAGCTCACTTCCAACTTTCAGTCAGGTCAGCTGAAAATGGAATACTTAATTGGGAATGTCAATGTAAATAATCTGTAATCTGAATAATCCTTATACCAACAATAAAAACTGATCCCTTGAAATGTTATTGTCTGCATATTAGAACAGCCAGAGTATTCTGAGCAATCCCCTTATTGCCTTGGGCTACGGTATATCCCTGTGGGGATTCAAGGTTAGAGTAGGCCCAAGCAACCTCAGCCTTACAAGGGAACTTACTGGTAATAGCTTGGGTGGTCAGACTTGGTGACTTGGTTGATTGTATGTCATTGTAACCCCAGGGTGTGGGACAATGCTAATAATATCAATCATGATCCAGACTTGATTACCTACAGGCCATCAAATAGCTGGAATATTAATTTTTAAGTAATTTATCTAATAACTCTGTAACCATGATAAAAGATAAATGAAGAGGGTTGTTGTCTGGAATGGTATCCAGAAGCTCTTGAGTAACTCCTGGTGGAAATCACCAATCCTAACATTTGTTTCACCAGGAACTGTACCATTTGGATTAACGGGAATTAACTTGACACGAAGTCTCACTTATCTAACCCATGTTTAATGTCTTTATGTGATTCTTCCATCTAGACAAATTAACCTTTATGGAAAATTTAAATATTACAAACAGCAATAAACTTTAAAATTGTTATAGATGATATCAAACAACAAAGTTTTTGAATACAGTCTTCAAAGTCTGTGCAGAGAATGAGCAGACTGAACAATAACACACCAAGGTCCAAGAGTTAAGCAATCATATTGGATACCCATTGGGAAAGGGTTAAGCAATAACCTAATCGAAAAGACTTCGCAAAGATCCCATTGCTTGCAACTGGATGGGATGATCTTGCTTTTTGAGATCATGCCAAGAATTGATTGGTTGAAAAAAAGCACCAAAGTCATAGAATGACTAAGATATAGATTTAGTTAACTCAAATCAGTGAGTCAGACACCATGAACTGTGACTTCAAGTGAATTTGTCATTTCATCATTCATCTGTAATCATCTCTCAAACAGACCTCAAGAATAGGAATCCCATTAAACTGAATTCAAAGGTACTGGTTAGTCTCAGAAGAGCTGGTAACAACATGCTATGAAACTGAGCAAATATTCAGACAGAGCAGTTGGGACTGCTGATAACAAAAGAGACAAGACACCATTATGCCAGCAAATAAAACACTGAGACGACATCAGTTATTCATCTTGCAACATATCAACAACTGATTCATGCGCTAATGAACACCGCTCTGAAGGCATTATGACACACCACAATGTGGATCCACAGTGGCCGATGTGAATGTGCTGATAATGACTATATTCCAGTCAGCTGGGAACAAGATGCCGAAACAAATTGCCATCTTCACTTTTATGCACTTGAATAATATATTTTTTGTAACAAAACTGAATGAACAAGAATTGTACATTGGTGCACCATTATGGTTCTTTTCTATGAATGGATATTATATATTTTCATATCATGATGGAAGATATGGAAGGGTGATTCCTTCAAAGCTGTTATTACATAGAATGATCTGAGAAGATAATAGCGAGTATGGTAAAATGCCAGTTTTTGCAATATTTCAGCAATATCACCGAAAGGGATTCACATATTGTACCCATGTGGGGCATCAAGAGCCAGTCCTTCAGCATGACAATCAAATGCTTTAACCAATCAGCTACCCCATCGCTGGGTTGATAATTATGAGCGTTTGAGAACTTGTAAATAATTTAAACATTTTTAAACACATCAAATTAAGACTGTTCTGAAAATCAAGCAAATTTTCGCAAACACAAAAAAAGGTTCACTACTTACCCAGTACAATCATTAGCTAATGGATTCAGTAAACCATAAAGACTCAATACATATCTAATTTTGGGTGCAGAACATTAGTTAATAAATGATGCATGCTTAGGTAATAGCCAAATGTAGCTAAAATATTTAATGTAATTTAGGAGCATCTACTGATAAAGAAAATAGGAATATAGTCAGTGTCATAGTAGAATGACATGAAGTGAACTCGAAGGAATGATAATGCATACCAACACTTGTGTATGTCTACCTTCAAAGAGCAACTGAAATAGCAATAATTGTAGTGCATACTCAGACATCTGTGTCAGAGGTTTGGCTTCACCCCTACCTACCAAAGAATCGCCAGAAACAGCTCCTTCTTCCAACAGATGGAGCTGGGAGTGGCACCTGCTGGTAACCATGGAAACACCAGCGCTCTGTGGAAATGTTCCCGACTCAGAAGACAGTCAACAATGGTGACAGACAGATCTGGGTTGATGGCGTCTGCTTCCCACAGCTAGAACTCTCTCTCCAGCCTCAGATTAATTTCCTCCATGTAGAAGCGGAGGCTGGCTCACAATTCTCTTCTTGAACAAGTGTGCAAGGATAATAAGACAGCAGCAGCAGATGCAACAAACTTCAAATGCAAGAAGAATTTCGAGACTGCCATAAGATCACTGATACACCTCCAACAAAAGTAGCACAACTACAAACTGCAATTATGCCTTAGATGATGGTGTGAGCAGGATTGGTCAAATATCAGTTCAACAAACTACACACAGTTTACTCATACCCTGCCAAGCTAGCTTCCAAACCTCTGCCAATTGTTACAACAATGACCTTTGTCTCGACCAAACAGCAGAATTCCACGTCAGCAGCAGTAACAAGGAAGTTCCACAGCAGTCAGTTGAAAGCAAGGTCGTACACAGTTAAGATAGATATTCCAAATCCAGTTGTGGCTTCGAATTCTCTGAATAATTGATAGCAGTGAGTTATGAACATCCAGCGTGTTCTGAGACCAGGGGAGTTTTCCTGGCTGTGGCGCTCTCCACAAATCAATATATGCTAACTGGCACGCTTCTTCTTCTCTCCACACTATGCAAGGAGTAGATTACACTTCTCAAATAGGTGTGGCTAAATGATTTAACCACATTACAAGGCAACCCTGCTGTCTGAACCAACTGCACTATTGTTACTGTGATTAAGTTGCCAATCCTGGCATAATCAACAAACCAGTTCGTGACCTACTGAAATGATTGGTACAAGTCTCAGATCTGTGTCATGGAAACCAATCTTATGACCCTGATGAATGACTCAGACCTCCAATTTCATAAGCAGGAAGGTCTGAGGAAATCAGAAAGAATTCTATTTCAACCACTGAGTTAACATGCATTTACGTGAACATAATAAGGAGATGTCAATGACTCACATATCATGGAGTTATGGAGTGGGTAATTTCCCTGCTTCGTCATTATCTTAGCTAGGACCTAACATTGGGCCATAACTGGGTGTCAAAATACCTGGTTCAACCTTGAAAGACTACTGGCAAAAAACACACACTGCATATTAGCTGGCCAAGGTCCAGCAAACATTAGATAGTCAATAATCTGAAACAGGACCGTTGATTGGTCGGTCTGCAGCCGACAGTGCACAATGTCGTATCAAGAATTTGTCATTGATATTTCAAGGTTAGCAAGTTGATATAGATATAACAGATGATTATTGAACAACATGAAATCTGTCAGGAAAGCTTCAATAAATAGCCTTCAAGTTGGCATATTTCGAGTTTGACAGTTTCAAGTTTACATTTCTTGGGAGATGTTCTACTTATTCCAGTTGGGTTGTTCTGCCTGTTAGGGTGTTGGTCTCCTTGTTCTAGTGTGGTTGTTGGTTTGTTGTTTAACACCGCACTCAGCAATATTCCAGCTATATGACGAAGGTCTGTATATAGTCAAGTCTGGACCATACAATCCAGTGATTGACATCATGAGCATCAATCCACACAATTGGGATACGATGACATGCATCAACGAAGTCAGTCCTTGTTCTCATGGGGTTGTTCTGCCTGTCAGTGTGTTGGTCTCCTTGTTCTAGTGGGCTTGTTCTGCCCATGTTAGGGTGTTGATCTCCCCGTTCTAGTGGGGTTGTTCTGCCTGTTAGGGTGTTGGTCCCCTTGTTCTAGTGGGGTTGTTCTGCCTGTCAGTGTGTTGGTTTCCTTGTTCCAGTAGGGTTGTTCTGCCTGTCAGTGTGTTGGTCTCCTTGTTCTAGTGGGGTTGTTCTGCCTGTCAGTGTGTTGGTTTCCTTGTTCTAGTGGGGTTGTTCTGCCTGTTAGGGTGTTGGTCTCCTTGTTCTAGTGGGGTTGTTCTGCCTGTCAGTGTGTTGGTTTCCTTGTTCCAGTAGGGTTGTTCTGCCTGTCAGTGTGTTGGTCTCCTTGTTCTAGTGGGGTTGTTCTGCCTGTCAGTGTGTTGGTCTCCTTGTTCTAGTGGGGTTGTTCTGCCCATGTTAGGGTGTTGATCTCCTCGTTCTAGTGGGGTTGTTCTGCCTGTTAGGGTGTTGGTCTCCTTGTTCCAGTAGGGTTGTTCTGCCTGTCAGTGTGTTGGTTTCCTTGTTCTAGTGGGGTTGTTCTGCCTGTCAGTGTGTTGGTTTCCTTGTTCTAGTGGGGTTGTTCTGCCTGTCAGTGTGTTGGTTTCCTTGTTCCAGTAGGGTTGTTCTGCCTGTTAGGGTGTTGGTCTCCTTGTTCTAGTGGGGTTGTTCTGCCTGTCAGTGTGTTGGTTTCCTTGTTCTAGTGGGGTTGTTCTGCCTGTCAGTGTGTTGGTTTCCTTGTTCTAGTGGGGTTGTTCTGCCTGTTAGGGTGTTGGTCTCCTTGTTCTAGTGGGGTTGTTCTGCCTGTCAGTGTGTTGGTTTCCTTGTTCCAGTAGGGTTGTTCTGCCTGTCAGTGTGTTGGTCTCCTTGTTCTAGTGGGGTTGTTCTGCCTGTCAGTGTGTTGGTCTCCTTGTTCTAGTGGGGTTGTTCTGCCTGTCAGTGTGTTGGTTTCCTTGTTCTAGTGGGGTTGTTCTGCCTGTCAGTGTGTTGGTTTCCTTGTTCTAGTGGGGTTGTTCTGCCTGTCAGTGTGTTGGTCTCCTTGTTCTAGTGGGGTTGTTCTGCCTGTTAGGGTGTTGGTTTCTTTGTTCTAGTGGGGCTGTTCTGTCTATCTCAAAGTGTTGTTCTATTCATCCAAGTGGGGTTGTCTTAAAGTGTGAACTAATTGATGCCTCATATTCGAACAACTTTTTGGTTTAACACACCTTTTTGGAAAGTTGTATCTGTCTTTAGGTGAAGAGAGCTTATCATGTAACAACTAGACATGCTGGAAATGGAATGATTGTACACAGCAGGAGACAAGAACCATGTCTTCTCCACATTTCTCTAACACATTGCATATTTGTGGCAGCTAATTTGATATTCCCATTGATTCCCCAACATCAAACTCCTCTTTACCAGCTGGTTTAACAGACTGCTCAAATGTACTGCATGATTTGCTGCATTATATCACATGTATTAGATCTCCTTGTATTGATACATTTACAAGTACAGGAAGAGATTCAGTGAGTGAGTTGGGTTTAAAGCAGCTTTAACAGTATTCCAGTTATATCGCAGTGTGTCAGCTTAATGTGGGAGGAAAGCCCGAAGTGATGCAGGTCTCAGATGTTTACCACTTCAGTGAAACCTACAAGCATGGGTATGGTGCTGACAAACCAAGAAACATAATCGGGGCGAACCAGGATTTGAACCCACAATCATAGGTTTGTGTCTTGTCCAAGGGATGCAACTCTGCACAGCGGATTGAGGTGCCTTAGATGACTGGGCCACCTGGCTGCCCCGGAAGATATTCAGAACAAAAACCACAATGCATTGTGATACAAACCAACATATTAAAAAAATACAACTTAACAACATGTTATGTTTTTGTAGCAAAGAAAACGGTTCCATGTACCACATTTGCAAAGAAAAAGAACATTTACAATATATGGGTTTGAGTGTTTTCATATAGAAAAACTTCATTCTGGTTGCTTTCATAGTGTTCAAACTGGCTCAGAATAAATCTGTCCATCTACTTTTCCTCCAAGTTTTGAATGAAAACCATGCAAGACCATTACTTAAACAGTGCTACTCTCATTTTAGAATAATGTTTCCACAGTTACTGCAACTACCGCACACAATATTGATGTTTTGCCAATTCTGGTCAATCAAATACTCTAATTTGAGTTCATGACTTTTTAATTTGAGTAAATGTTGTAATTCAATCAGCCAGTTGCATGAGTGAGTGCTGTACAACAGAGCAAGAGGGACAAAGGCCCCTTACTGATGTACAGCATTTACTGTGTTGAGCCACTGTCCTCGGCATGCCTACTCATTGTCACAGCCCCACCTGATTCACTGGAGGACCTTACAGGGCATATGATATTGATGGCCTAGAATCATTTCATGAGGATCAATAATGCACTGAGGAGCCCATGCCACACACTGACTGTGTTTCATCTGCATTTTTCAGAATTCCATCCATTCAAAGCCTCAAACAGAATCCAGTAAATCTAATCAGTTGTCAGGAAACCATTCTCTCACACGCCTGGCTTAACTCCCATGAGGCAATCCTTCTGTGAGCAGTCCAAGCTAGATGCACGTAATCATCATTATCAACCCCGCTGTGATCAGGGAGAAGATTAACATACCAGGCCAGGAAATAAGATAGACTTGCACAGGGTGTACATTAGTAACGCCTACATATCCACATGTCTCCTAAAGTAGGTGTAAAACAAAGTCAACTGTCTCCTACTTTATGATCATAAATGACTAAGCTGTAAGGAGCAATTACAAAGGGGAAGATTGAAATTGTTAACTCTACCCCCAAAATGCCTTGAAAGATGACTTCTGCTTCTGCATCTTTAGCCAATTTTCAATTCAAATTGAATGAAGATTGTTCACAATAGGCATCTTGCTGATTGCATTTCATTACTCAAGTACAAGCAGTCAGAAAATAAAATCATGAATAACTAAATAGTTGGCCAAAGCATTAACCTATAAAACGTATATCTTTCAGCAGATATGCCATGGGTTAGGATCAAATCAAAGGGGCCATCTCTTGGACATTACCTAGCTGTTATGGTGGAACTGCACCCTTATGGAGAAGAGCAATTCTCAGTATACTGACAACTGGTTTGCTAGCTCCAGGCCTAATTATACACCTTATTTCACCATGACACAGTTGACCGAGCGCAAACCTACATCACAATATTACAGGAAACCTTCCACTATCCATTATTAGACCCGTGAAGATTCTGTTTATAACTGGTCTTCAGAAACCTATGCTTGTCGCCAGTGGCAACTAACAAGGATCGGAATGGTCAGGCTCACTGAATTGGTTGATGCATATCAATCACTGGATTGTCTGGTCTAGACTCAATTACTTACAGACCACCTTAATATAGCTAGATTATTGCTGAGGGCAGTGCTAAAAAAGAAACAAACAAACTATCAATTATTATGGTATCAACCAAATGTCTCCTGCTATCTTGAGTAGAGAAATGCATGGAGAAATGAAGGGTGGGTTTCGATCCAAGGTTGCCTCATACCAAAAGATGTTACAAGGTGGTAATTGTTGTTACAGATTATAGTAGAAACCCACATCAGTCTCCTGCCATATACCTAGTACCTACCACTGTCCACAATGACCATAGTAGAAACCTACATCAGTCTCCTGCCATATACCTAGTACCTACCACTGTCCACAATGACCATAGTAGAAACCCACATCAGTCTCCTGCCATATACCTAGTACCTACCACTGTCCACAATGACCATAGTAGAAACCTACATCAGTCTCCTGCCATATACCTAGTACCTACCACTGTCCACAATGACCATAGTAGAAACCCACATCAGTCTCCTGCCATATACCTAGTACCTACCACTGTCCACAATGACCATAGTAGAAACCCACATCAGTCTCCTGCCATATACCTAGTACCTACCACTGTCCACAATGATCATAGTAGAAACCTACA